AATATCCTCGATTAAACTCTATAACTCATTTTCTAGTTTACAGTGTAGATATACGTGTCCGTTCATACAAAATGAACTGACTTTTAACGCGGCTAGCGAAAAGATATAATTTATCAACTCACTACAGCTGACGGAGAAAATAATGAATGCAGAACACTATGCGCTGACTTATATCCATCAATGAACAATGATTCTATAGCAGTCATTGTTGCAATGATTTTCCAGAAAGTTACTTTTCATTTTTGATTTTTTCTAGAATTTATATTGATTTTCTAATTCCTTTGAAAATCATTTTTTTTAAAAATCAAATTGAATTTCTATTAGATAGAAAATCAAGCTTTTTCAAAACATTCAAAATTCGATGAATAAATAATGCAATTTTGAAAATGCTTTAGCTTTGTTAAAGTCGATTTTCTACAAAACAGAATTTTAAAAAAATTTACAGTGTACACAAAATTGTATCAATACATTGTATCAACGATACAATGATGGCCTGATAAATGCAACGAATCGTCTTATCAGCTTGTTATACCTTGTTGGCAACAAGAAAAAATAGATAAAAAAAACTTGCACGATTCTAGCTAATTTGTTGTTTCTAGTTCTTTCCCTATTTATATTTTGTTCTTCGTAAGAAACTTTTTCTATGGATATCTATTATAAAAATGAAATAAATATATTAGATTTCTTATCTCTAAATAAACAATGTCTTATATAATTCCACATTTCAACAGAACAACATTTTTATCCATCAATGTTTTTTCAGCTCGACATTTTTATTATTCAATCTTTTTACTTATCTATTTTTAATTTTCGAGATTTCTATTTTTTTACATTTTTATCTTTCAATTTCCCACTTTCGACGTTTTTATTGTTCGGTATTTTTCTAGTAATTTTTTCCGACATTAGTATCGTTCAACATTTTTATTTTCGACCAAAGTTGGATTAGCCTTGAACACATCGAAACAAGAAAAAAAAATTCTATTTAAAAGCATTTTCGATGAACAATTGATGGGCCTGATTCATCATATTCTTGTTTTGAAATCCACATTTGTTGAAATGTTGATAATGATGCTAAAATGGAACCACCCATCCATACAAAATATTTTCTTTCAGGCGGTGCTATTATTTTGATTTTCATTGTTGATGGTGCTAATGATGTTATTTCTTTTTGCATACGATCAGCTATACCTGGATACATTGTTGAACCACCAGAAAGAACTGTATTTGCATATAAATCTTTACGAATATCACCATCACATTTCATTATTGAATTATATGTTGTTTCATGAATACCTATTATAATTAAAGAATAATATATATTATTTAATAATAATATATATATATATACAGGGTGTTTCATAAATTTTGAGGCTTGTTAAAAATTAACTTTTATGTGAACAAAAAACGATCTCAAATCAAGTGTTTTTATATGAAATGTAAGTACTCGTGACGGGCTTTCAAATGGTG